GATGCTTTCTTGATGGCTCTGAGACGCTTTATAGCCAGGCGTGGGAAACCGAAGGAGATCCTCTGTGACCAGGGGACAAATTTCCGAGGAGGAGAACGTGAGCTGCAGGAAGCATTTCAAGCCCTTCAACCTGACCTCAAAGAGCAGCTAGCTTGCCAGCAAATCAAGTTCATTTTCAATCCTCCTGGTTCCCCACACTTTGGAGGTTGCTGGGAACGTGAAATTCGCTCGCTAAAGACTGCTCTTCAAGTCATCATCGGAGCCCAAACCGTCTCTGAAGAGGTGCTGCACACCGTTCTGATTGAAATTGAGGGGATACTTAATTCAAAACCCCTAGGTTACATCTCTTCTGAAGTAGCAGACCCTGACCCGGTGACTCCCAACTATCTTCTCATGGGACGGCGGGATGCTTTGCTGCCGCAAGTAATCTACGACAGCCCAGAGATTCTTGGGCGGAGAAGATGGAGGCACAGCCAGATTCTAGCCGACCATTTCTGGCAGAACTTTCTGAAGTACTACCTGCCAGGACTCCAAGCCCGCCAGAAGTGGCAGACTGAATCAGCAAATCTACAAGTAGGAGATGTGGTCATGATCGTGGACAACCAGCTTCCGCGAGCACTCTGGCCTGTGGGTAAAGTCTCTCAAGTTTTTCCTGGGCCAGACACCCGGATCAGATCAGCTGAAGTGACTGTGAAGGGACGAACCTATGTTCGACCCGTGGCAAGGCTGGTCAGCCTACCTACCCTGCCTAATGATGATTAACCACCTCCTTTTATTCAGCCTTTTTTTGATATTCGTATTCACAGGTGAATACGGGGGCGGCTGTGAAAAAGGCTGTAACAAACTGCCATGATGAGTCATTAAGGGGCGGGCTTAGAGCAGCTGCAGCATGCAGACGAAGAAGAGAGAAAAAGAGTGAAAAAGGAGTATAGTTACTTTCGCATTTGTTCGTTTAACCGGCTGTTGTTTATTGTTACCTTCCTTGATGTGTGTGCGTGGAAATACAAGTAAGTGATGTTAGCTGTTAATAATATTGTTTATTTAGCGAAGTATTTTAGTTTTTTTTCGCTTAATTAGTAGCATGCTCTGTTCACGTGCACACTTTAGAATTATACACGCGTGTATGTAGAAATGTGATGTTTAGAATCATTGAGAGTGCAGTTATTTAGTATGTGTGATGTTATTTCAGTCATGTTATACAGACACTGATGTTGTATTGTTGTTTATTTTCTAGAACCACACACAAAATTACCTAAATAAACGGCAAGTACGAGTTAAATCACCTGGAGTACGACTCTGCGTTCTTTGGAGTTCTGACCGACTCACCACAGTGTTCTGAAATTCACACCAGCAAGTTCAAGTTCTAATAATTTTTCAAAAGCATTTAACCCTCATTATTATAACATGATGGTTCTTTAATCAACCCATTAGAACTTTGTGTATTTTGCTGTTCTGTCTGTGTGTCCAAACCCAGAAACGGAAGCTGTTTGGTGGCTCGGCATGTTCAGGTAGAATCAGAGGTGGGCAGTAATAAATCACATTTACATGAAGAACTTTTGCTCTACCTGAGCAATAATATTATGAAGTGTTGCAACTCTGATTTAAGTAAAATAAGTGAGTGACTCTGAAACAAACATTTAACCAAAAATACACAGAAACAAAGACAAACCTTCAGTTTATGCTGAAGTGATGCCTCTTGTTTCTACACCAGCTTTGATGGATTCAAGTTATTTTCCATCTGTAGGTCAGATACAGTAAAAACTAGATGTTGTCACTGGAAATACTTTCACACAAAAACTGTGTACTGTAAGCTTCAGTTTTTCTAGTTTCATATAAAAAATATTTGGAAATGTGTTTCTTCTGCTTTAATTAGTTATTAAGAAATCATTTTATTTGTCTTGTTTTCGTTTTAGTCTTTAAATTTACTAATTTAATAAATTTACTAATTTATTATAACAGTCTGACGACATTGTTATAATATTAAGAACAATCTTATGATCTGCTACTTCATACCTGAGTGAATCTTCCAAAGCTTCTTTCTAAGTTTACGTATAAGAACAAATATATTGACGAAGTGCTGCTGTAGCACAATGTTTGGAGTATTCCCACCTCTGGTTAGAACTTCACAAGTTTTTATACTCTGACGATATTCAGGACATGATCGATAAGCAACAGAAAACATTTTAACAGAGATATCAACTCATCTAAAACCAGAATTTACTGTTTGCTTTATATGGTTTGAGTTTCTGATCAGAATCCAACAAAAATACTGAGACTACAAACAACAGCCAGTCTCCCTGTGCATGCTGGGTTCTCTCCGGGTACTCCAGGTCCGGATCTGCTGCACAGAACCGGATCAGAACCAGCTGTAAAACCCAGTTACCTCCTGCCGTCTTCTTGGTTGAACCTGCAGAGCTGAAATGTCTTTGGACCGTTTCAGTTCCAGGCTGAACACACGATCTGCCCCTGCTGCGCCTGCTCTGTGGTCACCTGGGTGGGCGGGGCTTAAGTTTGCTTGAAGATCTGCAGGAAATCTGTTTTCATCATTGATCACGTGCTTTGCAGCGCCACCTGGCGCCTCAAGACAAAAACCTGGTTTTCCTGACCTTATGACCCTGACCTCTGATTGTTTCCATTAGATTAATGGCGGACATTTTTTAAACACCTTTAAACAATACTGTGCAAAAGTTGTAATTAGCTTACATTAATGAAAGATCAAATGTACTGTAACTAGAAGCTGTAAATTATGTCTAATTTACTCTTTTCTGTCACATTTATAATTTCCAAATGGTCCCTTGTAGTAGTTTGTTTTAGAAACGTTTAGTATTAGATGGAAAGTGCACCATGATTTGTACCATAATGCAGTTTTGCAGACTGAGAACCCAGAAACAAACCTTAAAATCCCATCGGCTGCAGCTTAACAAGCTCAAAGCTGCGCAGGATCATAATAAACGGTTCCATGGAACTGAAACGTCCTGAATTCAGGTCAATGAAACACAGAGAAAGCTCTAATAACAACAAGTGGGGGAAAATCCACTCTAGATTACTTTCACTTTATTTCAGTACATGTTACTCATACAAAATAATCTGTACAAAGGCTAAAATAGGTCAGAGTTTTGCATAGAAACAACAGCAATTTAAAACAACAAAAAACAAAAATGAGGGTGGAATGGCACAAAACAGGCATTCTCTCTTTTACTCTCTCTAACATGCACACACACACACACCAAGCGCGCACACACACACACGCATGCATGCACACACACTTCTGATGACATTAGGTTAAAAGGGGGATCTGTGGAAAACATGCTGCTGCTCATTCCGTCCTGTTAAAGTGAGACAATTTGCCAATAGTTTGGACTTTCATCAGCTCCTTTTTGTTCTCTATAAAGAGCCTCAGAGCTCAAGCAGCCGCCTGACATCAGCTCATCTTCAGGAGAACTCCAGGATTATCAGGAAGAAGCAGCTTTGAGGCGGGGATGCCTCTTTCATTAAACACTTCATGAGATCTGGACTGGAAAATTCCTCTCACTCTGACCACTCCATAAAACCTGAATCAGTGTTTAAATGTGGCCTGTATAATTGACAGCAACATATAAATGAGAATAAATCAGAAGCAATGAGTCATTAAACATGAAAGGCAATGACTGTGCACTATCTTGGGATTTAGTGACACACTTTCCTTTATTTAAAAAATAGTTGATTTGGAGATAAAAGAGCAGGAAGTGCACCACCTCGGATAGAGTAGCTTTGTGGCAGGAAGTCACAGGACGATGTTGGCAGGCATCAGACAATGCCGCCGAGCAGAGCACAACATCAAACACGCCGTTTCTGCAGTACAGCATCATTTCCACCGCTCAAAGATTCAGCTTCAGCTCAGGAGACGGATTCAGAGCAGATTACACAAAATAATACGCCGAAAGGAGGTAAAAAAATTAACTGATTGAAATAAAAAGAAACTGCTCCAAGTCCCTCAGTGCTACGCAAAACCCAGATCGCTGCGATGCATTTAGTCCTCAGCATCTCTGTGACTTACTGAGGGATGAGAAAGAATATTTTATGCTTCTTCTGAGATGAAAAAGAAATGTTTTTACTACAAGATCAAAATCCAGTCAAACAAGACACGAAAAGCTTACTGATAAAAACATAAATTTACATAAAATTTACACTGCAAGTGGAGGAAGAACAGCAAACAAGGAAAACAGACACATACAGTACAAGAAGATATGTCTAAGTAAGCATGAAAGCACATAGTTTGTTAGAAAATTGAGCTGTCGGTGTAAATATACTCATTTGTGTTGAAGCAAACAGTGACTTGCATCAGTTGTAAAGTGAGAATATATTTCTGTATATACACATGGGGCTGATATATTAGAGTTACATGAGCAGTGAAACTGCACATCCTCATTTATTTAAAACTAGAAGTGGAATCTGGTTTTCGGTGCGTCTCCAGTCATTTACTAAATGACCCAAAGTATTCGCTCAGCCGTCCAAATCATTGGATTCAGCTGCAACAGGAGCATCAAATCCAGTATTTTCTGAAGGTAGACTCTTTCTAGAAACATTTGTGAAAAAAATTGTCAACTCTTAGTGATAGCAAAGCAAACTTAGAATTACAGCAGACTGTAAAATCACAGCAAATTCAAATGCTCAATTATAATTTTGTTGATTTTTTTTAATTGATTCTGCTAATTAAATGTGACAACAGTCAGATTTCTGTTCGAATAATTTTTAACACCGAAGCGACTCAGATGCACAGAAGAACGCAGACGTGACACAGCAGCGCTCCGTTTATGGCAGTAATGATGGACGCCGCCGTCTACGGACCCATTTCACTGAAACTGACACCAAATCATGAGAGGAGGAAACGGAAGAAGAAAAAAGCCCATGACTGCAACTTCTGACCCGGTTCTGACCCGGTTCTATTTGGATGTAGAGTCGGACCAGGAGTGACGGGATTGGGATTTGTTACACTTCGCTGACACACACACACGCACCCACCCACCCACCCACCCACACACACACACACACACACACACACACACACACACACACACACACACACACACACACACACACACACACACACACACACACACACCTTTTATAATTTTATAATGAGTTTTCCGCCATTGTTTTCGGCTTCTTCTGGTGCAGAATTACGACACGTTTCAAGTAAAAGTGGCAGAAAATTCAGACCAACGATGTCAAAATCATTTTCAATTTGGATAAGATAAAACTTAGCCAGCTGAATAAAACCTATGAACAAACTGTTGAAATATGATTAATCAGCTGTCTCTGTAACAATAATTAAAATTTAATAATATTGAACATCTTTTCACGTTGATGTAATTTGCTTGTGCTAAAAAACTGAGATAAAAACAACGTTTTTGGTCAGGGGCCTTTTGGCCCCCGTACCTTCAGTTTGACACAAGATGTAGAAGATTTAAAACAATCAGATTCATATTCAATTTAGTTACAAAACAAATTTTTAACAATCAGAAGTGAGCCGTGCAGACTGCTATGGAAAGGTCGGGAGAATGGCCAACAATTTCCACGGCTGCCATCATATACCAACTTATATCTAGGACTGTGTATCTCAGATGAAGGTAGAGCAGAGAATACTGCTGGTAATATAGTGCATTTGCTAAATTTTCCCTCTTTTCATTCTGAATTGATGTGCTTGTTCCAGTATTAAGACAAAAAAAGGCCTTTTTGCACCTTGTAGAGAAACACAAGCGCTGCCAAGACTAATCCCTTGTGGAAAAAATGAATTAAAGGTGTCATCTGCGTATAATGAGAGTCAGTGGAGCATCTGTCACAAACAGAAACAAAAAGCCAACAAAAACAGTAGAAAACAAACATTACAACAGCAATAACCAACATACAAAAATAACATCACAGGACAGCTTTTGTTCAAATGTCATTTGGCCCTACGTTCTAAAAAACCACACAGATGAACCCAAACTAAGCGACAGTGGCAGGGTTGAAGCAGAGTTCACACTCAGAGTCTCTGTGTTCGGATGAGTCAGCGGCGAAGCGTTACAGCGTCTGCAGGCTTTGAACCACAACGTCACATCTGGAGAGTTTTTATCCTCTGCATTCTGCTTCCTTGTGTTTTCTGTTTAACGTGAGTGAAATATTCACCTAGATTTTTTTGTGAGGTGTGCAGGGCAGCCTCACATGTAACTGTGACAGTAACACTGATTCCTCCTGTAACCCTCCTCAGTGCAGAACGTTTCCCTCTGCTGCTGCTTTCCACAGAGCTGAGCTGCTTCTCTGCAGCATCTCAATGTGAAGCCGGGCGTCTGCAGAGCCAGGCGGTAAATAAGGGGAAAACAGTCGTGTGGAGTTTGTGGAGGCAGCCAAGCTGTGGGGGTTGAGGGGGGAGGAGCCAGTTGTGCATGCACTGTACAACAGCAGCTGTCATGTTAACCCCATGGACACAACAAGAAGAGAGGCAGAAGATCTCAGGCTGCATAGAAGGTTCTGCAGAACAAGCCGGGAACCCGGCTGCCCTCTGGCCAGAAGGTCAATTAAACACATTCATTTCTATGGAAGAGAAATACGACCACTGAAAAAATCGAATTCTGAAATTTTTTCTCAGAATTCTGACTTTAAATCCAGAATGATCAGAGATTAATGTCAAAATTCTGGAAAATAATGGAAAGAATAAGGTCATAACGCTGAGATTAAAATTAGCATTCATTTTTCTGTAGAGTTCAAGCTTCAAGTGACGCAAAATGCAAACATTTGGACTAAATTTGAAATCCAGTCACTTTAACACTTTGTGTAGCAGTTTTGGAAGTTCAGGTTATGAAAGCAGCAGCTGCAAAGTCTGCTTCCAGAACCGTCCTTTCGGACAGGCGGGAATCAGGATGCGAGGGAGATTAGACATGTTATTTGTTGAGCAGGATGCGCTGCAGGCCTCCAGTGCTGTGATGCGCTGTACGCTGCGGCTTTAGCTGAGTAATTGCAGTGAATTAAACGGAAACAGAACGCCACCAATCAGGCGACAGCGCTGGCTCGACCTCATTCTGCCTCGCTAGCGAATACTGCAAACAATACCACTGGGTAGCTTTCTAAACAAACAAAGCCACTAACTATAATCATAGACACAGTGATGTGTCACAAAATAAAATAAAAAAAGGGGCTGCAGCAGCAGAAAACCACAAAGACAATCCAACAGAGGCTGGAAAAGTAGAGGAGGAGTGAGCGTGAAAAATCAACAGACATTTCTTCTGTTTCATTTCATTTTGCAGAACTTTCCCAGTGACTGCGTGTATATCGGCCAGATGATGTATGTCATCAGCTAAATGTGAATTTTTCATGAGTCTTTGTCTCTCCAGGTAATTCATTTTAGGTGAAATAAAGTAATCTTTGTCCCTTCTGGATTTTTCAAATCATGTAATTTGATTCAAATGCAGACTTTAAATCGCTAAAAAATTAATTAGAATAAAATTTTTTAAATAAAACTATTTAGTTGCTGTGTGAAAAAATATTTAGCATATAATTTTTGAATGACATTCTTTAAGAAAACAACCTAAAGGGACACCGGGGTTAAAAGGACATATGTCCTTTTTTCACTTCTCACTGCTCATATCTGATCATTTGTGCTTAATCTGCAGTCAGATCTGCTCCAGTTTGCACCTAATCAACCGTCTGTGATTAAAGCTGACCTGTTTCACTTTGTGGGGACGCGCCGCAGCGCAGCATCGTTCTCTGGAAACGGAGCATCCTTGCTGTAAATAAAGCCATAAATCTCTCAGGTTTTTCCTTTCTGTAACTTGTCTCTTAATTTGCTGTTTCTTTTTCACCGCTGCAGATGTCAAAACAATTTACCCCGGAGACGTCACAAAAACTGAATAACCTAAGCCTGACAGGCGCAGCTAAACCGATCCCCATCCAATAAAGGTAGCTCTTCACACCTCTTTATACCTTCTGAGATAAACTGGGGGGCATTCTCTTCCAGCCACCAGCAGATGAAGAGTATTTTTGTTCTGCAGGAGGCAGACTGATGCCCAGGCTCCCTGCGGTGCATCAGTGCGTAAACAGACGTGTGCTACAGCTAGGGTTTGTGTTGCTATATCTATCCACCTTGGCTTTAATCCCAGCCCCCCTCCCTCATCAATTTCTCTTTAGGCTGCATAAAAAGTAAGCTTACATGAAATATGTGAAATTGCAAACCAGAGGTGTGACTGAGTAATGAGCAGGAATGTCAAACTCACTGCTTTCTGACATGTGGGAAGAGAATCGGGGTGTAAACAGAAAAAATGGAGGCCGGTTTGAGTTGAGGGTGACCGAATGGATGAGAGCTGGAGGAGGAAGCTGCTGGTTCCTCCTGCCAGCACAAATGATGGCTGCAGCAGTGAGAAAACATGTCTGCCGTTAGCCTTTCCTCTCTGATTCCAGGTTTTACCTCCTCTGAGTGATCAAACAGACACAGAGATAAACACACAACGTCTAAAAAAAGAGAACAACTTTATCAGCCGGATCCCTTCATGGAGCGAACAAACAGTTTAACACTGTGAATGTTGCCTCACAGGGGAGTTTGAACACAGCAATGCGTGTTCAAGGACATGAATTAAAGTTTATTACCCAGCGGATTTTTCAGAATTTGATGGCAAATAAATCCACTGATAATTCCTCACGCTCACATGATGTTCTTCCAACACTTTCCCTTTTCCCTAATCTCCACAGCGCAGTAAAAAAAAAAAAAAAAATCATGGATTACAACAAAAACCACACAGACACGTCTGCCTCTTCACGTCAAACCCGAGCGACACGCAGCACATCTACCGGGTCGCCACGCTGAGCTGCTCACCACTCAACATTCTGCAGGAGTGCTTGAATAAAGAACAAATCTGAGAAGTTTAAAACTAAAGTTTCAGAGACACGTAAGTCAGTGAAGTAAAAAACTAGCATGCCGTATTGGGTCTTTATCCATTTACAAGGGGAGCATTTTGTTGATCAACATGAAAAAACCTCCAGAAAGGAGAAAAGTTTAGTTTCTATTTCATGGGTTTTCGTCACCTTGGAGATGCTGTATGGGCTTCAGTTCAGTCTTCATTGTCTCAAATCCAACTTTCCTTCCAGCAAACTGTTAGTCCAAGAAAAATGATCAAGAAGATGAGAAAAAACTAAGTATATTTCATTCAGAACCAATGTTATTATCTTGCTTGCCAAAAGTAGGTGTCCCTTCAGTTCCAGTTGTGTTACTCTTTGGCAAAATGAATGAGAGGAGGAGAGAGCAGGAAAGGTGCAGGAACACAGGCCAGGAAGCAGCACAGGATGCTTTACACAAGTGGTGAAGTGAGACGGGAAGCATGAATGTTGGAATCAGAGTCTCTTCCCAGCAGGCAGTGGGGCTCCTCCACTGGTTAGGCGTCGTACTTCTTCCCTGTTCTGTGGATGTGATGGAAGAGCGTCATGGAGAACGCCATGCCCAGCAGCTGCACAGAAAACAAGAGGCAAACAGAAACAAGTCACTTCCTGTGGGTTTCACAGATCAAAACAGATAAACACTGATAAAAACACACAAATGTTTTTCATAATCTCTGATGTTTTTTCAGACGGTGGATCTAATTTAAATCACTAAGTGCAAGTAAGAACATCATAGGAATGAAACACAAGTATTTAATACAGAAATATTACATGGGGAAGACGAAGACTGTCACTGACACATTTCACAATAATAAATAAATCAAAGCTCATCGCTAAAGAAACTGGCTGTTTACAGAGTCATGTGTCTAACGACATTCATGGAAAGTTGAGTGGAAGGAAAAATTGTGGTAGGAAACACCATTATACCAGTCACTACTAAAGCAACCTGGACTTCCTGAATGCCTCAGCAAAACCACATCAATGCGTAACAATGTGCATCAATGTGTGTGAATTCATGCAAAAGGAGCCCAGACCACATCCAGACAGAGAATCTCAGAATGCATAAAGTTCAGTAGGTCAACATTTCTAGGTTTGGAATCAGTTCTTCTGATGCAATATTCTAAATAACTGTGAAACTCAAGTTTGTTTGTTTTCCAGCCAGAATGAATTAAATGAACTGAAGTATTAGACTTCGATATTTCAGTCTGCAGTTAATAAACATGAAGCAGAAGCGTTTCTGTTCCTGGTTGAACCTGAAGTGTCCTCTGTGTGTGATTTGTTTTGTGCCAGTTTTTGCTCCCCGTCCTGCAGCGAAGGACGAGTTTGGTTCAGCCTTCAGATGTGAGCTCTGGATTTTTGTGATGGAAAACAGAATGTACAGCGTGCACAAGCATCAAGTCAATGAATCAAATGGAGATGCCACTGAATCAAAGTCTGCAGCCATCTCTTTGAAGTTTCCATTAGCCCTGATACTTTACATCAAACGCAGCCACAAGGCCGATCCTAAAGCCGTTATCCTGAAACGTTTGGATGACAAGAAAAACAGAGTTTATGGATTGATTTTTTTTTCAAGAAAATTTGGAGAATCCCTCTGCAGTCAGAGCTTAACTGAATGTTCTTTGGTTAGCATAAACCGCTGTACAAAACTATATGCAAATAAATAAAACATAAGGCAGCAAATAATCAAAATACCCAGAGGTCTTTCTGCTACTTTTTCCAATTTGTATTTTTGCACATTTGGTGATTTTCTATCTCATCTGCACATTGATAACTGTGCAAACTGATGATCTGAAGTCATTTTCTATGATGTTAATGTGGTGATGTCTTCTCAGTAAGTAATATCTATCAGTGCAGGACAATTTTAGATTGAATGTGAGTCATAATCTGAGATCACGCCCACACCTCCAACTATCATCCACATTGAGACGGGCAGCTGATGAGACTCTCCTCACTCAGAGTTCGGCGTAAAGACAGAAGAAAAAAAACAGATGTGGAGTAAAAACCGGATTTTATCGATGGGAACAAGAAACTTCCAAACAACAAACATTTATGCTCTGATGATCCCTGGAGACGTTTTCCTCTCTCTCCTGCTCCTTTCATAATCTCTGAGCTACTTCAACTATTTAAACATTAAAACAATCAACTGCAGTTATTTATTGACATGTTGATTAGAAATAAAGGAAACAGACACATCGCTCCTGTAAGTTTCAACAGAAATGAATCAAACACCTTTTAGCAAAGATGGAAAGTAAAATCTTTTTGTCAGTTTGGAGGAAGATAAACATCCAGGTTTCTGTCAGGCTGAGTCTGCATCTTCTATAAATATTTCAAAACTACATCCAAGTGCCTCTGGCCAGTTTTACGTTTCTTTGTCATGTCGTCCACATTGGTTTGGGATGAGCCAATTTGTACTTGACATCTGCTTCCTGACTCTTCCTACCGACACTGAATCAGAGCAGAGAGTCGGTGTCTGCATGTGCAACGACAGGGTTAACCTAAGGCTTCAGCTTCAGAAAAATGTGCTTCATTTGTTAGCACTGACAGGCTGAATATGTGAAAAACTGTAAACATGCCAGAATAGTTGCTGTGAGGTCAGATAGACTGCATGTTTTTTTTTGTCTTGAAGTTTTTATTAACTTCATTTCAGAGAAATGAGGTAAAAGACGTGTTAGTAGCACAAAAACAAGGCCAGTTGTGATTCCCTGGACTCATTCAGCCTTGCCAGCGCATAGTCCTTCCATTTCAATTTATATTAAAAGCAGACATTAAGCACTTGTATCAATTTATCCAGGATTGACCGAGATGGTGCTGAAGTAGAAGGTTCTTTGTTCCTGGATGAGAACTGAGTTCATTTAAAAAAAGCTACAGACAAACCTCTCAACCCCGGCGCTTTGTTTTCCACTTCTGCTTGACTTCGTCTTACAGCTGAACAAAATACAATATTTTGTTCCTAAGTTGCACTTTTGGTGATAGTGCTCTCTCTGACACACACACACACACACACACACACACACACACACACACACACACACACACACACACACACACACACACACACACACACACACACACACACCATTAACAACATTTCAGCCTCGTTCAACCTCCTTCTCTTAATAGACCCTCATCATTCAGATAAACACCAGAGTGATGATTTATGATTGATTTCCTCCCAAATTTATCAACAGGAGACACAAACATGTCATCAAACTGATAGTAATTTTCTTTGAAATCCAGAAAAGTCTGATGGACTTGATTTGTAATCACAGTGATTCAGAATTGAAACTTAATATCTGCTTCTCTATGACTGACACATGTTTGAAGGCAAATTCAGCAAATATTTGTATTAGAAAGAAATGTCAAAAGTGTTGAAGCATATGAGCACTGGATGCACCACCTGAAGGTTAATGTTGAAAACAACAAATGCTAATTGCTAAAATACAGCACAGATTGTATGGGATCACACAGTAAGTGCCTTTCCTAATGGGTGGCATCAATCAAATTAGTTAAAGAGGCTTACAGCCCTCCAAAGAGCTCCTCTTAGCAACAGCTCCGAATTACAAACATGTCATAAGCAGAAAATTTCTGTGAACAACCAGGACAATTACAATTTCTACCAGGCAGATGCAGCAGGTCGCTTCCGATGCATGATCATGAGGAAATTTGAATGCAAATGAAATTTCGGGACAAGCAGGCACTGCTTGTTTTGTCCTTGAAGCTGCAGTAGAGTGAGAAGAATGAAGTCTAAGAAGTGCTGAGCTGAAGTGGAAGTTTTATAGTTTTGATAAAACACTACAACCCAATAATTGCAACCCAGTTGTTGGCTTAGAGAGGAGAGTAATAATGAGCCTTAGTGAAGCGCTAACGGCACAAGATGCAGTTTCCTGTGGTAGACGATATTCTCATGTGACACATGCTGAGTCCGTCACATGTAGTTGAATTTAGAGATTTAGTTTCTGCTATACACCATAGCGCTTCAGCATTAGCAGATGCAATGTTTATGATTAGCGTAACTGATTTTTCAGCTAGCGGTCCAGACCATGGATCTAAATGTGATGTGTGTGTTTGACCAGAACAAAGAACGTTTAAGCATTCCTGACTTTATCTTTTCACTTCTGCTTGCAACAACTTTTAACATGATCTCTTTTTAAATGAATAATTGTGGAGTTTTCAAGCCAGTTGTTTGTGATTGTGTATGGCAGGCTCTGCTACAAATTGGACCATACGGTATAGAATACCTTAACCTCAACCTAAAAGTTCAAGCACAAATGTCCCCTAAGGACATTAACTATGTGCATAATCTTCCAGAAGTCAACAAAAAGCTTTAATGGGGAGGTCACCTTGCTCTAAATGAACCATGGATTCAAGGATTAGGAGACTTGCCTTGCCTTAAGCACAGTAACAGACGTATTAAGGAGAGAAGAGGCGATAAAAGAAGAGATGCATTGAAAGCAACCAACAGGATGCAGCAGTACTAGGAGAGACAGTGCAAATAGTAATAATGATGAGAAGAGCCGGCTCCATTGAGGCTGAGCCACAGCGTGAGCCTTGAAGGCAGTAATAATGAACAGACAGGTGAGTTACTGTCAGAAATGTTCGGGTAGGTGGCAGAGATTAAATGGGTTTAGTAGAAAAAATGCTGCACAGAACGGAGCCCGCATGGACAGAGATGTGAATCTACAAAATCCAGCCAGGATGAAGAGTTTTGTTCAGGACTGTGCACAACGGTTCTGACGGTTCTGTCAGAGTTCTGGAAAGTGTGGACCGACATTTAGAGACAAACGGAGCAGCTTGTCTCTAAAGACCTCCTCTTAGCTCCTCTTGTCTCTGATTGTGGTATGAATTTGTTTTAGATTCCTGCTTTAAATGTGTCTCATTACAACTTCAACTTTTAATATCAGGAGTTACAATGTTTTTTTCACTCTTCAATTAAATTTGTAGGCTCCAAAATAAAAAGACAATCTGGGATGCGCTAAGCCCCATTTAGTTCACTTTAATAAACTTTTGTTTGTCTGGTTTGTTAGAGGAGTGAATGTGCAATCAAACTCTGACCCGGTCGATTAAACTGAGTTCTGGTCTGCATAAAAACCGAAAGAAATATCATTTTCAGACTAACTTCTATATTTACGGCAGTTGCTCTTGTCTAGTTATTCGATGGTTGATTTGAAAGATTTAAATGCAACAAGAATAAAAAGGTATATAAATTAAACATAAGCAAAATTAAATCAAAACTTTACGAATGGTGGTCAAACTGCAGGCAAACATGGAGTTGAAACAATATGTTAAGGCAATCAATAACTTTTTGGTTTGATTGGTCCATAAACAGGCCAATTAACCAACTTATATTAAGTACTGAACTCATTTAGTTATCGATTTATTGGCCATGCGGCCATCAGTAATGGAGAAATACACGATGAAGGGTCATTTGGAAAATGCTAATTTTTGGATAGTCATCTCAATATAATTTGAGAACAGAGTTTAACATAAATTCATATAGTTGCTCAGTCACCTGGAGTCGTCATCTCTTCTTTCATTCACACCTACAGCAGTGCAGAAGATAAAGAGTGAAAAACTTTTTTTTGTCACATTTAAGAGTTTCAGAACCAATTTAAATATTAACCAAAGAGAATACAAGTAAATACAAAATACAGTTTTTAAATGAAGGTGTTTTTTATTAAAGGGGAAAAATCCTAATATTTATGTTGTGGTATGAAAAAGTTTGTTTCTTCTCTGAACATCTTTAGAAATAAAATCACGAGCAAAAACTTTTAGTTCTCATGCTTTGTTTGTTTTGTTTTATTATTTCTGACATAAAAGTCAACAGTAAATAAGTTTTGTTTGACGACGGATGTGACAAAAAACAACAAATAAGTAAATTAATTCATTATTTCATTCTGTATTGATGTAAATTGACAAGATGATTTAAATAAAAAATCTGTTTTTACAAATAAATGGAAATAATAAATAAACTCAACTTTGTTTATCTAATAAATTCATATAGTTCACTTGTATAAAACTGAATAAACAACCAACTCAAAAATAAAATAAACTCTATTTAAATAAAATAAATACATACATTCATTTAATATATACAAAATCTGTAACAAAATTAAAATAAATAAAATGATTATTTATTGCAATACAGAAGTTTATCTCAATCAATCAATCCATTCCATTTATTAATGCAAACCGAATAAGTAACTAACGGAATAGAATTAAATGAATTTAGTTTACCTACATAAATAGTGCAATAACACTTAAACACTAAAAGCCAACCAGTTTTATGCCTCAGTGATTAGATGTGAAATGGATTCAGTAACAACCAATCAAAGCTCCCGTTTCTCAGCGATGTTCTCGCCGCCGCCTGGAGCCAGGAGTGGAAAAGTTTTCCTGAACATCTGCTGACTCGCATGTCGGCCACATCGATCATCGTCAGCGCTGATCTGCTCGAGTCGATGGAGTGTCACCTGACTAAATCCTGATTGGGTTTGTCTTTGCTTTTAGGAGATGCAATTACTGAGTCACCAGCACATTTTGGATGCGACCCAGCTTGACGTCGTTGACAACTCTTCTTATTTAAAACCAACAAATAAAGGGAGGAAAAACCTGCTATCCTTCGATTTAAGAGAGCAATCTGTGCATAGCCTCCTGGTAGAGAGGAGCGGGGGTGCGCAGGGGTCAGTCAGTCCGATATGTTGTTTGGGGCATTTAAAGATTTAAACTCCAGGATTTTAGAATCAATACAAAACCTAACAGGGAGCTGGAGAAGGAGAGGCTGATGGGCTTGTGTCTCTGCCTCAGTAAGTGAAGCAGAAGCTGCATTTTCAAAAACTAAATGATGTGTTGAGACTTTATGAAGATGTGAAGGAGAAGATGATGCTTAATAAGATGGAGCATCAAAACTAAAGTTTGCAATTCAGCAGATTTTTAACGTTGAGACGAATCATCAAACAAGTAAAGAGCATTGTTTGAGCTTCTCATCACAGGAAATGGAAAAATGATTGTAGAGATTTGTGAGCATATTAGAACAGGAGCAGAGAAATCATCTGATTCTGTAGGCTGCAGGTTATTAGCCTCTGTAACAGGTGATTCATCTTTACTTGAAGTGCTCTGTGACAGACTGGGAGCAGCTTAAACTACTGCTATCACAGTACAGTTTGTAAATTATTCAGAGTCAAAGCGCCTGCATTCAGTTTGGTGAGTTATTTAAGCATCAGCATATTAAAAGTGCTCAGTGAAAAAGACAGAAAAGTGCAGAAAAATGGTCACATAAAATAACTCCAGCTGCAAGCAGCAGGATGAGGAAGGACTAAGTCATGGCGGAAACTGAGCTCTGATTGTGAAAAGGCGATAAACCAGAACTGGGCCAAAGTGCCAGAAATGACACACAAAACTCAGGCTGGAACAAATATCCTCATTATTTTCCTTTTAAAAGAATAAAATTGCTCTCTATGCAGAAAAAAGATCAACAGAGTGAATTCTGGTCCTAAGAACCTCGGTCTCTGTTGGGTTGAAGTAAACTCAGTGGCAGTTTGGATGCAGAACGTGACTGCTCCAAAAACTGGTCAGGACAACCACCAAACATGCTACACTAGCACTAGCAGAAGAAATGGCTCATGGTCTTTCACTAAAGACAAAAGGAAAATCCTCCAAACACTAAAATCTGACGCCTCCTTTGAGCTCAGTGTCTTCTTCAGAGATATTCTCCTGTTTCCTTCAGTGGTTCTTGGTTTAGTGCCCCTACAGGCGAAGGGAGGAAGAGATCGCTGAAAGGGTTTGGTTCATTTGACACAGTTTGAAACAGAATCACAGCTGAAAATGTAACAAATGTTGCAATTTTGGTTTCCAATCAAACCGATTCTACCGGCTATAAGGCGTGAAAACACCCCTGATCTCCACAATCTCAGTTCCCAGTTTAATGACTGCAGCTCCCAGTTGAACATCAAGCTCTAAAACAAGCTAAAGTTCAGAGAGATCCTGTTGTAGAGACTGAAATAATGCAATGGATATAAATAGAATACAAGTGGTGCTTTAATCTGCAACTCTCAATGCTTCTCTGTATTCAGTATCTTGGCTCTCCGATGTCTAATAGCTCTTCCTTACCTGACCGCAGCCTCCTTGGCTCAAAGCCACACAGCTTTGAATCTTCCAGACAGGAATAGAGAACAGAGCCACAATATTTCAAGATGTGTGGGAGCCCAGAACGCCCACCGAGCCAAAGCTTCACAGCTTTCTCAATCGAACAAGATGGCACAGGGGGCCTCTGGATGCACTTTCTCCTCTCTTTTTTCAACATGTTGTCAGACACATGCAAAAACATCAAAGAGCAATGGGGAGGGAGAAAGAAATATATATATTTGTTACACCCACCTGCACCACCAAGATGACCATGCCTATGGTTCCCAGCAGATGCTTGTTTTCATCCAGCCATTCTTCCACCTTCTCAAAACAGCCCTGCAATGCAAAAAAAAAAAAAAAAAAAAAAAAAAACAGGGGAAAATGAGCATTTTCCAACGTGGGAGTTGAGTCGTGTCAGAAATGTTGCAGTTTTGGGCTTCAGCTGCTCAGTCACCTGGAAAAGTCAACCAAGCAGTTAAATAAAAAGGGCACTTCCTCCTCATGGATAAATATCAGATGAGGTGTCAAAACAAGTGAATTTCCCCATAAGGTCAGGCTTCTATATGCAGGACTGTGGTTTAATGTGAGCAGACTTTCTCTACTTATTCAGAGGTGAGGGACTTCACTTCGGGTTCGGTCTTACAGAGGAGCTTCTTGTTGAGGGGGGATTGTGAAATATCAGGCAGCTGCTCCTCTGGGCAGGATTACACACAAGCTTTCAGGGATGAGCTTTCCCACTGGACCACCTCATTGTCTGCCTATTCTCATGTTGGCAATTACATTACAGCTTTTAATCCTTTACTCTGGACCTGCTGACAAACCGCACGCCAGACTAAATAGGAAATTAGACTTGTAATGGGTTGAGGACGTCGTGCTGCAATAACAACAACAAAAAAAGGGCCGTAATGATCCAAATTCTGCAGTGAAATGTTTAAACGGGTTTAAATGGAAATCAGCTGCTATGCAGTCAGTGGAGGAAGTGTGCAATAGATGGTGGATTTTATGTTGCATGTATACCAGTTTGCATGACAATGATTTAACATGAGATAAAGAGCTCAGTAAGCTTAATGTGCATCAGCAAAAACACCTCAAATGCTTTCCAGATCCCTTTTGGCTGCTGTTAATCTCTGCTATCATTTTTATTTTCTGTCTAGATGTTGGTCTTTTTATGCCGAATCTTTCTGCTGTCAGTTTGTGGTTGTTTTGTATTAATCTCAATATTATTTTGTTCTTTTTCCTCCCTTTGTATATGTTTGTATTTGTCGTTTGCATCGCCGTTCTGCTTTGGAATATGCAACAAGAAATCTTCTCTTTCAGGTGCATCTCATAACTTCAAACATCATTTATTTAAAAAATAAATCAACTGAAAATGCAAAACTCATGAATTGCGTAGAATGATCAGACACACAGTGATGTACTGAATATTATAGCAGAACAACAAAACGGATTTTAATGAAGAAATATTTTTGCTTCACAATTAATGACGAGGCAAAAACGGTTGATGGTAAGTTTAGTGGAAGAAAAACGTTAAGAGAACAAGCAACAGAAATTAGCAGACTTAAGAGCATTAAGAGTAGACAAACTGTGCTACCTTTATGTTTCTGCATAAATAATTAAATTTTTTGTGTAAATTTGTTTAGTTCTGCAATAATTTTCCTGAACTTTGACCATACTGTAACAGTTTTCTGTGTCACCACCAGTGAGTGGAACCTGTGAAACATGTAACTCACCCGGTTCCAGAACATGTTGGTGGAGTTGCGGCCACAGTTCTGGTAATGCTCCTGGCAGCAGCGGTCCGGAACCACCTTCTCCTTCAGGGCCTCGTGCCAGTCCGTGTACGCTACGACACCGCAGCACTTCCACTGCCATCCACAAACACAAGCACATCTGTCAGTCCACAGCACATCTGTCAGTCCACAGCACATCTGTCAGTCCACAGCACATCTGTCAGTCCACAGAGTCCACACACAACTCTGTCTTTTGATTGGTTTGTTGGTCTTAAATAATGGAAGGACTTCTCTCCACCAGCCAGGTTGGATTTTTTTTACGTCACATTAATGGTACAGCTACACGCCTGAAAATGCATTAGCTGGAATGTTTCAGAATAACTTTGCATTTAGGTGATTAAACATTGATGCTAATGTAACACCAGTGTAATGTGTAGTGTGAGGCCCACAGACCTCCGCCTGGATGATGTTCCATGCATTTCGAAGGCCTATGTTGTTTTCTGAGTTGTACAGAGCCAGCCCATCCTTCAGGTCCTGCTTAGCGTTCTCGCTCACCTGCAGATAAAGAGAAAACATCAGCCTGCGGTCAGCCGCCTCAGCGAGGGCAGTCGTCTGACCTGCAGCTTTGCTCCCCGTCTTTAAGATTCAAGAAGGCAGCGTTAGCTGGAGTGCTTGCAGCTGTGCGGTCACATATTTCCCTCTTTTCAAATCAACATGGTTTTCATATAGATGTAAACAATCAGGCCATTATCCACACTGTGCAGAGTGCTTTTAGAGGACTGAGTGGAACTGCTTATGAATTGTTGTTTTTCCTCATGAAATGAATAATGCTGAGTCAAACATGAGTGTTTATTTGAAAAAGAGCAGCAACAGCAAATGGACCGAATTCTGAGAAGCTCTTAACATTTCTGTTATGATTAATAAGTATAGACGCAATGATCAGATTCTGCTATATTTGATGTCACATGTATTTGATTCTGGTGTTATTTTCTCAGCAGGGTTACTTTGGGTTCAAGGAAAGTGACTGAACTGAGTGACGATTATAAATAGCAATGAACTTCTTACTTTTCTGGCTGAATAAAGAGTTAAGCATCCCTATATTGACTGAAGTATCTGCGAAATGTGTCCATCATAATATGAATATGTTTCTGCATTTAAACCTCCTGCTAACTTTGTGTGGTGACTGTCAGACACAGAAGATGTTTGATCCCAGGAGGTAAAACGTAACATGTTCTGTGTCCTAACGTTCACCCCGGGCTCCTCTGTCCGACTGCCAGGCAGCGATTCGGCCCACTGGACAACATGTTTGCACTGCTTCAGAGTCCAGCGTGTTTCACGCCACTGCATCCAAAGCATTGAACTCGAGTTATGTGACACACAATATTTAGTCATGAGGAAATTAGAAGTGCACTGATTGCAGTTTGTTGGCCGATTGGCAATCTTTACAAAGTCTGACCTGCTGATATTGATTTTAGCTTGTATCGTTTATTTTGTGAAAAGTTTCTAAAAACAGTTACAAAGCTGCGGATCTGTCAGTCGGCTCTCCTTTGCCACCAGAACCCGCCCAAGAGAATCATGTTGAGTTTATTCAGAGTTGACTTCTTCAGTCAAGGTAAATAAAAATTGGGTTTTAAACGAATATTTAAAACCCATTGATGAACCTAAATGTCGATAAATGAACATCTATGTTTATATTTTGTAAAGGGCTCGTCAACCTGCACTTGACCAAAAATAAGAAGTAAGATCATTAATTTACAAATGCTTGCTAGGTGCTGTGGCGGTGCAGGGGTGGGGCAGGGCCTCGTGTCGGTGGTCACAGGTTCGATTCCTGGCCTGCTGACATTTGCAGCACTTCTTCCCCCTCTCTGACTGCCCTGTTTCCTGTCCAACTACTTTTGGATGAATGCCACTAGAGCTAACAAAACCTTAAAAAAAAAGAAAAAGAAAAGGAAATGCATGCTAAACTCCAAATGCTTGAATCTACAACATTTACCATAAGAAAAAAGCTTTGAATGATTTCCAAACCAGAACCAGTAAACTAGCGACTCCAACAGTTTAAATCTTGATTTTCGTCACTTTGTCAGAGTCTTTTGTGCATTCACAGCTGCTCTGGGCACATTATTCAGAAGCTGAAGGCATTTTCTTCTCATCTTTTTATGTACAGATGTGATGTCTGCTTCCAAATTTTTCTGGCATTTAACTTAATCCATTTTTTCCCCTTTTCAGGTAAAATATTCCTCTTGCCAACTGCTGCAGCAGAAGATCATCCATGCACCTTTGTGCATAACAGATGGAGAGGGATTCTGTTTCTCCTTCATAGCGTACCTCTACTCACTACAGCAAAAAATACAAAAAAAAAAAAGAAAGAAACGGAAAGAAATCTATTCTTGTTCTTCCAGGCTGAGAGACAGTTATCAAAATTGAATCATTCTGTGATTTACAAGTTCACAGCCTTTTGTTTCTGAATTATCTCATGTTCTTCAGATGAAACAAAGATTACAGTCAAAAGAACCTAAAAGGTTGCGTAATGTGGAGGAACAGACCGTCAGAGGAGCTGTTTCTTTTGGTAATGACTGGATGTAACAGAACAAGAACGCAGCTACTTTAATATGCTTGCAGACGTGGCTGGGTTGAGACCAGAAAATGTGTGAATGCACATAACATGCCTTCTGTATGTGTGTTGTTTCAAAATTTAAAATAACTTGCAGCAAACTTTACGAAAAAGAGCAGACATTTTAAAACTGAGCCGCTCTTTCTCCACCAGGAAATTTCCTTCTTGTTTTACAATTCCCATATTGAAGTAAAAATAGATGTAAACTCTTAGAGGTGTCTTCTCAGTGTTTTATGAAATATATAGTTTATGCAAATAATTATGCTCATATTAAGACCACATGTCCATGGAAAATGAAAGAAATCCTCATCAAAGTATGAAAAACAGAAATTTCTCTGGTTACAAATAAATCAGCCATTTCAGTACTAATGCTTCATACAATCAGCTGGAACAGAGGCAAAGTGTAGCTTTATGGCACAATAACATAACACTGAGTTTATTCATAACAATATTTCAGAACAAAGACAATTATCCCTCTGTCTCTGACACACAGAGTTGGAGAACAAAACTGTAGTTCTGCACACAAATTACACAAAACTCTGTAGGCTAATATCATTATGCATGTTTTAAGTCAGAATAAGTATTCATTTCCTTTAATAAGCATTTACACACTTTGAGCTAAAATTTCCCCAGATATTATTTAGTGAAAATGTGTTCATTTGTTGTTTTTTTCCAGCTATTTTTAAATTGCTTTAATTCTAACAGTTTTATGACAAACCTATCAATAAGTTTGGGATATTTTCACTTTTCGGCTCTTAGTCTTTTTTCTCTTCTGCGCATTTCGACTCCTCTTCAACTGCAGTCAAAATTCTTCAAGAACATAAACCAATTATTTTAAATCATTTTAAATAATTTCAAGTCTTATTTAAAATGATTTTTAAAATACATTTTTGGTTATAATATTTGAGCCTCAAGTCTTGCCCTCTCCTGCTTGAAGCCATCGCCGTTCGCAGGCAGTTTGTTGAGAGGCGAATCATTCAGTCATCATTTTCAATCTAAAGCTACATGTGTTTCTTTTCCTTTTCACTCCCACAGGTCCGAATTTAAAAAGCATTTTAAACATTTAACAGTCTGTGTAGACACGACTGTCAGCTGCTCAAAATATCACTCTAATCCACTTCAAAAATAATAATTTAGACTTTGATGTGATGTCTGTGGTTCTGACACTGTTTCGCTGAAACTTGCCTTTTCACAGCACAAACGTATCATTTTCCTCTTGACTGAACCTCGACAACGCGCTTGGGGTCGTGCCATGTCTGGTGATTAATATCTCATTGGATGTGTTAATGTAATACAGATTCAGAGCCCAGCTCTCCTGCTGTTTGCTGTGCCTGTGAGGATTTGCTAACAAGAAAGAGAGACCAGGAGGCTCCGCAGATATGAGATAATTACGGCTGGGAAAGAAAAATGACACGGTGATGTAATACTGTATGTTGTTTTCACGAGTTAAAAAAACATCAAGACAAAGGGATCACACTTTCTTTAAGTTAATGCTTCGTTGATGGGAGAGCAGAGGGGTATGTATTTTTAAAATGCGAGCAGAAGAAAGAGGCTCATCCTGTGTGTCAGTTTCTAACAAAGCAAGGTGCTTCCAGCCATTGTCTGATTTCTCTGCTCATTGAAAAAGGATTTTACTCGCCTGGAACGTGTTACAAGCTGACACAGAAATACTTGAAATAAAATGAAGCAGCCAGTTTAGCCTGGTTTCTACAGAAGACACAGTACATGGTAAATGATTCCTTTGTGTTGTATCTTCCATATTCATATTTATCTTTTTTCATCGACCGTCAGGATTAACCTGGAAAAAGAAGTTTGTATTATTTTTGTAGTTTTGATTGAGGGCCACAAAGAACTCCTTAAAGGGCCACAAATGGGCCCTGAGCCACACTTTGGACACCTCTGTGTTAGGGCCTTGGAGTTTCACCTTCCTGCAGGAGAACCACACTAAACATATTCATATGTTAAAATAGCCTAAGGTCCAGAAATAGAAAATCTGGAGTTCATAGATGATCTTTATTCATTCTGACTCGACTTGATTCATTTCAGATTTTTATTTGTAAAAATAAGAAGGAAAAATTCTATTCAGATTTGACAATCATCTCTATTTTGTGGAAGTTTGTGTTTGTATCATGATAAAATATGAAAACGTTATGTGGAAAAAAAACTATTTTACCAAGCACTGTCAGGTGAAATCACTCGATCAGGTTCATTCATATATTGTGCACAATATAGAGAGCTTGTATGATAATCAATAATGAAGCAGGTCTGGGTGAAAAGCTCTGCCAGGCAAAACAAGGGTATGAAAACTTTTTAAAAGTACTGACAGATTGATCTAATATTCTTCAGATCAGGTAGAAAAAATCCCAGAAAACTTTAAATCATAATTTTTAAAGCTGCAAGGCAACAAAATCCATCAGCAGAACAGACATAAATGTTCGAGGGATTTTATTTGGTGAAGGTCTTTAGCTACAAGAAGACATTTAACACACCCTCTCCAACGCTTTGAAATAATAATTGCATCATTCCATGTTTCACTGCTGTTTCTCTCTCTGTTTCTCAGAGATGCAGAGGAAGATCTGTGCATTGCTGCTGCTGTTCTTACCATATCTGTCCCTCTGCAGGAAAATTAGATGACGAGCTGCATCATCAATCTCTGCCTCGTACTCCGGTTCCATCTTTTATCATCTGCTCCCCATGCTGGGCTATATGTGATGTTGCTCACTCATTACTGACTCCTCACACTAACATAGTCACGAGAGAACCCTCCTCCCCTCCCGGCTTCCTCTTTAAAGTAAAAACACAGAGAGAAACAGAAGTTTCCACTAAGGCTTGTCGCATTTTCCATTTCTTGCATGAGCATCTTTGTTAAAGTCTGAAAGGAAACCTAATGACAAGAGTCAGGCAAATGAGCTCAGAACAAAAAGGAGGAGATAAAACAGATTTT